AAGTAATGTAAGTAAACATAAGCTGATTGTTTGACATCCTATCACTCAGTGTGCCTGGTGCCTTGTTTAATCACCCTCTCGATAAATGTTGATACATGTGTGTCAGTTTGCACATGTATGCACGGGCGTGTTTATGTGCAAACATGTGTGTAATGTATACAAATGCATGTGTATGAATATGTATATAAGTTCAGTTTAAAATCCGCAGTGTGCAGCTTGTTTAAACCAAGGAAAAGAGATAAGGGCATAGGGGCATATTAGTAAGCTCTACTCTGTTTTATTGTTTACTTGTTATTCTATACCCTTCAAATTTCCACATACAGTAAATGAAGCAACTCATTGGTCAGGTGCATCGGAACAGTTGTGTCCCCTCATTGAAGTGAGGTCACTTGTTCTATTTTTGCTTTGACAGCCATGACTTAATGTGTCCTAAAGGTGCCCACCTGGGTGCATAAACACTCCGCCTGACAGCCTGGCTCTGCATGGCTTACTCCTCCTCTGTTCATTTTATAGTGTGCATGTATCACTTTATGGCATCCATCTATCTGGTAAACCTTGAAAAGGCTGTTGAGGCTGTGGATAAATCTGAGGGTGACACTTTGACAGTCCCTGATCTGCCTGTCCATGTTGCCTGAAATCTCCCTCGCCGATCGTAACTTTACTCTCTCACGCATTCTGACATATTCCACTTGGAATGCAGGGTTGTGTGTTTGTTTGTTTGCATGTGTGTGTGTGTGTGTTATCAGATGCACCAGCTCTGCTCTAATGTCACCCATTACGGTGCAGCTGACAGATGAAATGTACAAAAAATATTTCAGCCTGATACATCTTATTTTTGGAGAGTGACTGGCTATGATCTGAGTGAGTGAATGTGTGCTGCAATTGAATCTGGCGTAGAGACGTGTTTGTGTGTAAAGGAGTATGTGAGTGTAATTAATGATGTGTTCCTCCTCTTCATAGGGTAATAGGATTTCCCCACCCCAGGCGGTAAAGAGAGTGGGAGGGGGAGAAAATGGGTCTGCACGTATGTATGTGTGTGAGAGGGAGAGAGAGAGAGAGAGAGAGAGAGAGAGGGAGTGAATGGGAGCCCTATGTAGTGATGCCAATAGAGGACCTGTGTGTGTGTATACGTCTATGATGGGGGGGGGGAACAAGCGAGTGATTTATAACAGCTACTCCAGGTCTCTCCTCTCTCCCACAGCAGCACTGCAAACACATCCATTACAAAAGTACTGATGTTAATGGGATTGTTGTGTGTGTGTGTGTGTGTGTGTGTGCATACTCCTGTGTGTGTGTGTGTGTGTGTGTACTCCAGTGTGTGTGTGTGTGTGTGCATACTCCTGTGTGTGTGTGTGTGTGTGTGTACTCCAGTGTGTGTGTGTGTGTGTGCATACTCCTGTGTGTGTGTGTGTGTGTGTGTGTGTGTGTGTGCATGATACCGAGGCTGCACAAGTGTGAGGGTGCACCTTCATGTGTGTGTCTGAGAGTGATAACCAGATGCTACTGGGTGAAAGGAAGGTGAAGGTTACTGAGGGTGCTTCGTGGAGGTTTACTGGTGCTCAAGTCCCAGTGCTAATGTGCATGCATGTGTGTGTGTGTGTGTGTGTGTGTGTGTGTGTGTGCGTGTGTGTGTGTGTGTGAGAGAGAGAGAGAGAGAGAGAGAGAGGGAGAGAGAGTATTTGTTTGCGTACACGCTTGTGGCTAAGCGCAGGTGCATGTGTATACGGGCAAACAGACGATTTGTTTTGGACCCTTACAGAGGAGTAGGCTAACTCCAGTACCCTGCCTCGTTGGCTCTCTCTGGAGATTTGTGTGTTTGTGTGTATGTGTGTGTTTGTGTGTGTGTGTGCGTGTGTGTGCTCTGCTGGAGAGACGCAGCCGAGATAGAGTGATAAAAAGCGGAATTGAGGAAAAATACTCCAGAGAGTAAACAGAGGGAGCAAAGAAGAAATAAATAAAAAGGATGCAGAGGTTCCATAATGGACTAGTAGATGGTGAGGACCACATCCACTTTTGTGTGTGTGTGTGCATGTGTGTGTGCATGTGGATATATATATATATACACACAGAGTCTGCCTCAGTCAGAGTCTGCTCACATTACCCTTTACATTAAAACCAGTCAGGGGGAAAATTACTGCAGACCCGGGCCACCTTCTGCCCACCTGGCCCCTCAGCAAGAGGAGGGGGATGTGGAGCCAGAGGAGGGGATAAAGAGGAGGATAAGGGGATGTGGAGGTGGGGGGTCAGCGGGACCTGGTGAGGAACATGGCTGCCCAAAGGCAATGGTCTGTAGTCAGTTTAAAGCAAGAAGAGAATGTCTGGTCCTGGGTTTGTGCCCGAGGGGCCAGAAAAAAAAGACCAGTGTTAAAGGGATAGAGGATTTTTGATTTCTGAAATAAATATATAAGACATGGATTAGGGACAAACCTACAGACAATTATCACTCCACTTTGTAGTTCCCCTGCACTCCACAAAAGTGTTGTAGCATCTTTTAGCTGACTGTTTAGGTTTCAGGAGTGTATAGTCCCAGTTTTGGTTCACTCTCACCTCTCTCATTGTTTCCTGCCACAGTTTTTCTGTGTTAAAAGCTGTGATGTTTGCATTGTGTGTAACTTGCACAGCACTAAAATGCAGACAGATTAAGAAAACAACTAGCTGGTGAACACAGTGAAGTCTTTTTACCAGGAAATGAGATGGAGAGGACTTTATTGGACTTAAATTCACTTAATACCCAGCTACATGACTCTTAATGAATGCTAATGCTGCTCTGTATACGCATGTACATTGACAAATGTTTGCTAGCATGTTCACCGTAACAACTTTATAAACTAATAACGTGTCGATATTGTGTTTTCAGCTTTTTCTGCTACTTCCAAATGTCAAACAATCAATTGATGCAGATTTGAATAAAAGTACATAAGTATTCTTAATAATGTGAATAAAGAGCTCGATACTGTTGCCAAAATGCTTTCTTACGGAGGACGATGTGAAAAGTCTTATTATTAATCAATGAATAATCAATAAGCCTCAATGATTGAATAAGAAAATACGGAATACATTTCATACATGGTAATTTATATAGGCCTTTTTATTGAACATAAATATTCAAAGTATTTATAAAATATGCCTTAACATATAGAGGTTGTGATGAAGTGAATTGAAACAATTTACTGCACTGTTTTATAGCACTGCATCATATTCTGTTTAAATAATCCTTGTCACCAAAGTGAAGTTAGTAGTTTATATAGCTGTTTGAGTGGAAACTTAAAATTCTATACCTCATAATAAAGGTATTATGTTACGTCCCACCTCTACAAACTGAAGTAGACAGACAATACACTGAGAGATTATATGTAAGAAGAAAGCCAGTTCTTCGAGTTGTAAGAGAAGGTTTTATTACCAGTGCTATTTACATAGAAATAATACAGCCTTGTCCCCACCCCCCCACCCCTTAAATGTGCACAAATGCGCACACACACACACACACACACACTCACACACTCACACATGCGCAAGCAAACACACATCCTCAAGTGTTCAGGCACACACACACACATGCACACACAGCCACACACCTCTTGTATTCAAGGATGTCTCAGAACACCAGAAATAAGACACATTCTTTCTAGATCTTATACAATGTCCAAAGGAAATCAAATCAAAACAATATTCAAGTAGCGCTAACTCAATGTGGACATACAGCATTACAAGTGTTTATGGGATGTTTCGTAATGAGTAATATCAGCTATCTTGGGCAGGGTGCCATCTTTCAATAGCAGTATTAAAAGGGAACATGACATTTTGGATTGGATTTTCAAATTGGAGCCCTAATGACACCCTGAAAGTACAGAATTATCTTCTGGCATTACTTTCAAAGGAGAGAGAGCGATAGAGAGAACTTGCAGTACAATATGCACACACCCAGACTCTGCTGTTTCGAAGAGGATGTTTGATTTTGTGTGTCTAACAAACGTGGCCACTAGATGGCAACGAGAGCCTCGGAGCAGACTGGTAATGTCACAGATGTAGTCTGCCCCCTCTTTTGTTTTCTCCCTTTAGAGGAAGGAGACCTCAGCTGTTGAAGGAGATTCTCCATTATGGGTTCAATGTTCTTTTGAAAATCATTTCCATTAAAACATGTTTTTTAAAAGGGAGAGTAACAAAGGGAAGGTCAGGTGAAGCAGTGCGCGGAGCAGAACTATCAGGGCCGCCTGGATGGGTGTGAGATTTGTGTGTCTGCGTGTGTGTGTGTGTCTGTATAATTGTGTCCGTGTTTTGAATAATGTTAAAGACATCCTTCTTTTAAGCTATGATCAAGAACACTTTTTGTGCATTAAAAGACATTTGGCTTAGTTGTGTGGAGAATGCCAATGCCAGTGCAGTGTGTGTGTGTGTGTGTACAATTTCTCTCAAGCAGCAGCTTTTGATCAGACATATTGTCTTACAGAAAAAGAAATTTTAAATGAGCAACGTTTTTGAGTAAACATATCCTGTCTTGATTGCCACATATGTATTTGTATATGAGGATTAAAGCATGTATTGAACCTGGTACTTTGTCTTTTTGAAGGTAGAGCGGCAGTTTAGAAATAAAGACAGGTGTAGAGCAACAGAATGGAAAACCCTACACTGCAAGGTTGTTTAAAAATGTGGTGAGAAATAAAGACAACTAAAGATGTCCCCTTTGGTATTTCTCTCTAATGTGTTCCTAGAGCATTAGAAGATACCTTCGTTAACATTAAGGGGAAGGCGAGAAGCATTTTGCTGGGTAGAATCACAACTTTTATTTTAATAGCTCAAGTCCAGTAATCCAGGAAGGGATATGCTTTGGAGTGTCTACTGGGCAGCAAATATTATTTTTTTTCCGTTAAGCTATCCCATTCTCGATTCCTTTTCCATGTCCATCACTTCGTCAGCTGTCAAAATCAGTCCGTGATTTTAACAAGTCCATAGAAATTTCAGTTGTACTTTTCAGTCCGCAATGTGGGTTTTTTACCCCCACATCGTTCATCTCCTGAATTAACAAGGCTGACATTCAGCCCAGGAATAGTCCCTGTGGTTCGTCCTCTACCAAGCTGTGGTTTCTCCCATCTCCTGGCCTTGGTGGGACATAGGGGCGCTGTAGCTGGAGTTACTGGCCAATGAGAAAGGGGGACTGGGACCGCCACCATATGCTTCCCCGGGGACAGGCTGCATGGAGCTCGGTAAACCCGGCTCCGGACTAGGGGTTTCCGCATGGGAGATCATGTCCGTGAACCTTTGGTCATCTGAAGGGTGGTGGCCTGATCCCTCCATGGCCCCGGGCCCAGAGCCCAGGATGTAGGGGGACTCGGCTGGTGACTGAGCTTGTGAAGACGGAGGACCGTGGGGGAAGAAGTCGTAATTACTCCCTGGTCCGTAATAGTCACCTTGATATTCTGCGGAGGAAGAATACCCAGAATTAGACTTTCCATCCAAGATTTGAAATATACTGTACATAGACAACATTCACAGTTCCCCAGAGCAGTGTTTAGTTTTACCCACAGCTCCACACCTACCTAAGTGGTGAAATTGATCATGTCCAATTTCCAACCAACCGGTCTCCAACAGCCTCATTTGAGTGTATAAACAACTCCACACCTCTCCACCTCAGTTCTCTCGCCTTTTGCACACTGCATTCATCTCTCTCACTCATTCAGCTCGCAGCCATGCGTGCACCTCGATAGATTCCCCGGCTGAAACTTCTGGATGTGGATGAGGAACTCCAAAATGAGATTCCAGCCTCCCTGCAGCCCTGCCAGGTCTTGTCAGGAACATCTCTTTGTCATGTCTGATGCAGCTTTCAGCATCATCCCTTTCCTCTATCTCGCTGGGCTTTGGCTATTTCCTGAGCTGCAAAGATTGCTCCCCATTATTACATGCATGCAATCCATCTATGGCTGCAACTAATATCATTGATTATTGTGAGGCTTATTTTCCTGATTGTTCAATAAAGTTCCCAAGTGTAATGATTCCATCTAAAGTTTATTTATATATATAGCATGTCATTTTTCCCAGATAATCAATTTACCGTCAAAACAAAATAAAGAAAACCAGCAAATACTCTCACTTGAAAAGCTGCAACCAGAGATTATTTAGTATTCTCACTTGAAAAATAGTTAATACATTTGTTTTCTGTCAGTCTCTCTAATCAATTAACTGTTTGGACTTTTCCATCCAATAATTTTCTCCCTTTTAATTACACCTCGCTCCACAGTTTTAACTAGCTCCCGCCGCCTCCAGCATCGCAGGTACCTCTTTAGTTTGTGCTCTCAGCTTGAGATTGTGCCACTGCTGTGTTTTATTCACACGGTTGGATTATCGATAGCTTTCCACACGAGTTCAATCAATCATCATCATGACAGACTCGCCCCATTCTATTTTTTTATTTGGATGTCAGTTGCGCTGCATCGCGAGGCGAAATCAGCAAATCCCTTAGACGGTAAGATAATTCATTAATGCCCACAAATACACAGACACAAAGCACAAAGCAATATGTCTTCTGTAAATGATTGCAAACCTATGTGACACTTTGTGAATTCATTCAAGAGCACAAATACAGGGAAAGTCAGAGGACCTCCAAAGTCATAGGCATTCACTTCAAAGAGCCCGCAGCACAAAAAAACACCTTTGATACAAGACACAATGATGACTGAATACATTCGCAGAAAATCTCCAGCACACACTTGGATTTACACACGTTTCCTGGCAAACCCGTGACACTGACAGACATGTTTATGCATCTGAGAGACGTCTGCACATGTTTGGTACCTCAACAGGAATCTTCACGTTCATTCTACCAGGGTGACATTCTCATACATTATTTATGAACGGAGAGACACAATACATCCAGGAGCCAAGATATGGACAAGGTTAAAGGGTCAGTTCACCCAAATACATATGCAGATAGTTATGTATTTTTGTATACTTCATTTCCACAAACAAAGTCCCTGTTGTCTGATTAAATGACTATTTTATCGGCCGTTTGGATGAAAACTTGATGATCTGCAGAACCCTCAGCAACAAGGAAGGTGTTTCTCAAAATGAAATGTAAGTTTCCAGAATGGTGAGTCTTCAAAGTGAGATTCCATTCCAGTCTATTATACATCTCAGAGACAGAATCTCACACTTGGACAATAAATCTAAAAGCTGTAGATTTTATTACAGGACTATCTTTGACCATTTCTAGGTGTGAAACTGGGTGAACTGACTTTGTTTTTGTTTCCTACCAGTGCACAAATGAATCCAATCCGATTGTCCTCGAGATCAATGCATCCAGACTACATTTTACCATAACCAACCATCACTGCTTGTTATTATTTAACATTTTGTGAAATAGATTTATTTGCTTTTCTGCTAAAACATTTACATGAGAAGATTTATTCCACTCTCACATCTGCCTGTTGAATATAAACTCTACAACCAGTAGCTGCTTTGCTTTGTTTAACATAAAGACCAGAAACACAGGGACACAGCTAGCAAGTCTCTAACCAAGGGTATAGCAAAATATGCCTACCAGCACATCTAAAGCTCATTAAAGCTCATTAATTAACATGTTATATCTCATTTGTTTAATCCGTACGAACTCCTGCCATCGCCGTGAGGTTGCCAGGCAACCAGTGGAGGCTCCAGAGAGTTGCTGCGCCCGGCCAAGAAATAGTCCGGCGCTTAATTCAAGTGAAAACTACGAATTGTTGCACACTTACGTTTCTGCACGGATTTAGCAAACAAGATATAACATGTTTATCTGTAGACTTTAAATAAGCTGTCGTCTTTCCTTACCATTAGATTCTTGGCAATAGTCTTATATATATATATGGCACAATTACGGGTGTGGTATCGATCCTGTCTAATTCTTGGCAAGAAAGTGAATAAGTGTGTTCCCTTGAATATTTCCTTTAATCCTACACCAGGGGCTGATATTTACATTGTCGTGAAATCTGGCGACCACAGTCATCCTGACAACGCAGCCAGAGTCTCACAGCAACCAAATACTCAACAGTCTTGTGACGTACCATGAAGCTTTCCTGAGTTGTTGATCAGAAAACATACAGCCAAAACCCTTTATACAGGATTCATCAACTCCACGCTGTCACATCCTTTAACCATAACAAACCTCCACCTGCCTCCTGCGGCCAACCACTTCCATATTCTCCAAATTTACATCGCACTCTGCTCCAAATTCCCTCACTTACTGCATTCAAACTCCAGTTGAACTGAGATCGATGGCAGACTTTTTCCCTGTGGCCCAGATGTTGCACTAGCATTTCTCCACCCCCGCCATATGCTCTTCTCACTCCTATTTCAGTCTTAACAGGCAAAATGGGGAACTAACAGGTTACAAATCAAGAAATAGTATATATTGCCCAATTACAGCATGTGCATTTATTTGCTTTTGGTGATTATCAAGAGAAACAATAAGAGGTGACATGACTTTCACAAACGAGCTAATTATTTGATCTCACCAACAGGCCCCTGTTGGTTTTTGCTGACCTTGAGAATACACAACAAGCCTGTGTTGTGGACTGCGTGGTGTGTGTGTATGTGTGTGTGTGTGTGTGTGTGTGGCTCTGCAAACTATAATTACACTCACACATGCAGATGCACCACACCACACAGAGGCATCCCTCCCTCTCAGCAGCGGCAGAGGAACATAAGGAAGCAGCGAGCTCAGATAAAGGCGCAGACTGGCCTGTGCTGCTGCGGCACAAAAGGGTGTGAAAAGCAACGTGCGAAGAAAGCAAGATAGATGAGAATGGGGGATGAAGGTTTTGTCCTCCGTTTTCCCCTCCCACTCCCCGCATTGAAGCCTTGACGGCTCCAGTTTATTGTATCCTCGATGCAGGGGCCCTTCAGGTAGATGTGCAGGAGCTGCATAACAACCACCGGCTCCTAACACCGTCCGTCAGAAACAAGCTGACATACATTTCTACCAGTTCAACGTGGTGCTGCTGCTGTGTTTACTTCTTTTTTTTATCCAGAAGACCAACAGATGCTTAAATGCCATTTTTAAAAAATGTTTTTTACAAACGTTTCTTGTAAAGAATGATGATTTATTTGAAGGTGTCATTCCACCCACTAGAGATCAAACTGTATTCTGGCATGTTACACATGTTAGAAAAGAACTAGAGAGTAAAAAAAAAATGTTTTCACATGTGGAAAACAGAATTGAGAGTAGAGACCCTTTTACTATTTAACAACCACAAATATTTGCCAAAAATCCAATGTGAAACTTTTCTGTGGAAGTAACATTTCATCCGTTTTTAAAGGCGAGCTGCTCTGTGTGTCAGGTCAAGGCTGCACATTGTCCTTAATTTGTAATAATCCAGTCAGTGAATGACAGTGAACTCCACAGACACCTCCATGTGTTTTCATCAGACCTGAGCCTGACAAGAGTGAATGCAATTCCATTACTAGCTTTATTGCTAAAGCGGATACAGCTATTTATAGTTCACACATTGTTTTAAAAAGCGTTGAGGTTTTTCTGTAGAATAAAAAGCATATTTTGACAAGAATCCTAAAGAATACGTGTCTGTAAACCCTCCATTATTGCACAGACTCTTTTCTTTAAAACATTAAGAAATTAAACTTCTGCTGAATCGACTCTAATGTGTTACTTTCCTTGAAAGATATCTTCTTTTCTACCTGAATGACTTGTTGAGGGCATGGCGGCTTTATTTTCATGAAGTTATTCATTTTTTTCAAGCACCGAGTTATATTTAAACGGTGTAAAAGGTAAAGGGTTAGAAGACGCAGGCTTCATCTTGATCAAAACTTAGAGGGCCGTACCGAACAGCCCGGGAATCAAATCCCACAAAAACTGAGTCGTCTTTTTGATCTCCAGAGTTTTATATTTGCTGTTTTTCATTCTGTGTTGATGAATGTATATTATACAACACTGAAGTAAATGCGACCCATACTGCAGCACGTTGACTGTGAGCTGTATAACCAGTGTGTGACAGTTAAGCAGGTTTTATGGTTACTATTATTTTGAAGATAAGGTCTGTAGAAACATATTGAATAGTGCCCAGGGTTCGAGTCACATTAAGGTCTGATCATATGATTGAGTAAATGGAAAGATTACAGAAAATAATGTGTAGTGCAGAGCAAACACAGTAGAAAACAACCTTTATGCAATCTCCTTGCACCCTGATAACATACTATGCTATTGCTATTTACCTGCAGTAGCATATACTGTATTCAGAGAGGGAGTAAAACCAGGATGTGGATTGTATTTTTTATTTGCTGAATAAAATAATGTTCCTATACGGCACATGAATATTGTAATAATCTAAAGACATGGTGTTATGGTGTACTGAAAGATAGAAGACATACAGGCCTATAGGAAATGTGCATTAAACTGTCACTGTGTGTGTTATCACAAGCTTCATTTCTTACCTCCATAGTAACCATAGGCCCCAGGTCCCAAAATGTCTGCATCCTCCAGCCTGCCTCCCAAGGGCCTCATCCTCCTCGGGCCCCTAAAAAAGGCATGCCGCCGTGCGCCCAGAGCACTCAGCTGCTTCATTCGTCGCTCTTTGGATCTTCTGTTCTGGAACCAAACCTGCACCACACACACACACAGTTAATCAGCTGATCTCATCATTTTCAAAAAGGGTTTGAGGTTGAACTGCAGCCTTCACAGATCAGTTTATCTTTTTTCTCTGCTCTGTTCCTCAGTGCTCCAGCAATCAGTCAAACCTTCTCCTACGTCATGCGAACTGTGAAAATCACATCGTCTGTGAGAGTCAGGCTTTGACACAATCGCTACAAGATGCACTCTGTTGCATCGTGTAACAAGAAAAAATGCCAGAGGCACGACTGACAAAACTTAATTTGAATCCTGATCATTTTTATGTAATTTCACTGATATTTAATTTCATGCTCACAGTTACAGAGTTTGTTTAGAATTCAAATCAGACGTGAAACGTTGTTTATGAAGTCAAGTTTTCTTTTCTTTTGTCGATAGGTTCAAGCCTGGAAAGTTCTTCAAAAGGGCCCTAATTAAAAAACCAGCAAACGTTTCTTTTAAGACAATGTTTCTGCTTCTTACCAAACATGATCCGCATTCTCTGACATGGCTGCATTTCCTGTATGATAGCCAGTACAGCCTCTGTCTTTGTTTGGTATTTGGTGTTATTTCCTAGACATCAATGTTAAAATGGCTTTAAAAAAAAACAACTGACTCTTAAGAGCTGAAAATTCTTGGATAAAAATCCATCCAAACCAAATGTAAAATGAAAATGTTTTCAATGCCAGGTCAGAATCACACAGATAAGATCAGTTCAGTATTGGCACACAATGAATGGAAACACCAGAGGCTTTATTTGCCTCTAATTCACTTAGTTGGAAGGAGCTTTTTGTGTATTAAAATGGAAAATATTTACACAATATTACAAATTAACAAAGACGAAGTCAGAAATGAGTGAAAGCATTAAAAAAAAACACTATTTTGAGTTTAACTTTGCACCTAAGATACAATATAACATGACACTTGTAAGATAAAAAACCCACTTTGTGCTACACTGTCTCAGTCATGAAAGTGTTTTCGTCCTGCAAAAATAAGCTGAATAGCAAAATACTACAAATGCACCCCAACAGACAACCCAATGCAACTCAGCACAAGTTAAAATAAACAGTCAAAGCCATAAATCAGAGTCTAAAAAGCTTATCACCAACGTTAAATAAGCTGTCTTTGAAGAGGAACAAAGGGGGATTTCAAAAGTGCAAAACTACACGCCATATGGAAGAATGTCTGCATTATAAGCACATAACACATCTTGTTTCGCCTTTTGCATCACTGCTGCATAATGATGTATGTTCACACCAGCGAGGCTACACCAGAGGCAGAATCCCACTGTGCTACAGATTAACAAAAACACACTCACACACAAAAAAAACACCTAAAACCACTTAGGCTATGCTCTATGTGCTCCAGCGGCAAAGGCGACACCTGCTTATTGAGAACAATCGTCTAACTGTAGGGTACATTTTTATGGAAATGCTCTCGCTCCCCTCGAGAGAGCGTTGCTTAGGGATTACATCCACATGCTGGAGAAGCAGCGTGGCTCACAGGGCTCCCCGCGTTGAGAGCAATGGTATTTAACACACAGTGAACGAGGAGGAGGATGACGAAACACAGCCTCCATTTTGGCTCCAAGCAACACAGCAACAGTCAGGGGTGGAGACCATGGACAGAGGGATGGCCCGCCTGACTGACTGACTGACTGACTACTGACTGCCTGATTGATTGATTGACTGACTGACTGATTTATTGATTGATTGATTAATTGCTTGATTGATTGGCTCGGCTCTGTTGATGCACACACGCAAACAGAGACACACAACAACCTGCAGTGTGATGATACAGATGAGGCGGTGGAGAGGCCCCGGTCTGCTCTAATAAGCAGTGGGAGCAGGCTGTAAGTGAGTAAGAGCAGAGAGGTGGGAAAGGGGAGGGTGGTATGTAAATCTGTGAAATCAGCGATAATTACAGTGAGTGCACAAAAAGCCACATCACAGTTGGCAGAGATGGTGCTAATCATCCTGACACAGTCTGCACCCAGACACCAAGTGTGTGTGTGTAAGTGTGTGTGTGTCAGAATGAAAAGACAGACAGAGAGAGATAGGTCCAAAACAGTGTGCGATTGTGTTATACTCCAAAGCAGGTTTGTTTGTTGGGGTGGTGGGGCTTCCAGTTGCCTTTGGCAAAAACAAAACTAACCTTTCATTAATTTCATGGCTGTGGAACACGAATGATCGCTGAAATAAACTGCTGTCTGCACAAAATAAATGACAGTCCTTAAAAAACATGGTATTTATTATATCCATGCATCAGTAAATTGGATTACTGCATCTTAATTTCAGGGAATAAATTGATGCCTGCAGGTATGGAAACAGTAACGTGGAAATTGGAGGCAAATTGGAGTTTTAATTTTAGGAATATGGAAATAACAGAGTGTGAGCAATTAATTTTTTTAAAGCTCTACATTAAATTAAAATGCGCAGCTCTGTAAGAATTACTATTAAAGTTATAAAAACACATCGGTGTATTTTATTAAAAAATAAATATCACAACCTGCATTTCTGTGATAACAAGCATGGGTTTGTTATATGGAGATAGGAAAATATAAGATTGAGTTTGCTATTGTGCATTTTGCTATAGTGAAATGACAAAACATATTCAAATGGAAAAAGGTCAAATGTATTGTCATCCGTGTAAATGTGTATTGTAATGTGTTTCTTATATGAGCTCATTCCAGCAAATGGAACAAACAGCAGCTCACACACAGCAGCTTGAACGTGGATCTATATCCTTTCTCACAGACAACATCGTGTTTTGACGTTTCTCCAGCAGATAATGGGGCCTTCAATTAAACGTTGGAGTAGAATTAATGAGTAATTCCACTGATTTATAATCCGTCAATTCTCTCTAATTTGTCTTTGTCCTCCCTCACTGCCAGACACGCACGGAGACACAAACGCACGGCGGTGTGTCTTACCTGGATCACCCGCATGTTCAGTCCCGTCTCCTGGGCCAGCTGCTCCCGGATGTGTCGGGTCGGCTTCGGCGTGGCGACGAACGCGGCCTTTAACGTTTCCAGCTGTTTGGCCTTGATGGTGGTCCGGGGCCCCCGCCTCTTGGTCCCCGAGTTCTGCTCCTCGTTCTCAATATTGTTCGTTTCCTTATCTGAGGACGTTGAATTGTCCGTCTCTTTTATGTCGTCCTGAGTTGGGTCCTGCAGATCCGGCGATAAACTCCTGTCTGTGCACGACGACACTGGAGGAAGGGGGGGGGGGGGGGGGGGGCAAACAAGAGGAAGGTTACGATCCGTAACTGTGAGGGAGGGGTTCTGCTTTTATCAGGCCTGCACATGCACGCATGCTATACTGAAAATATGCATCCATAATATCTGTCAATTAAGGGCACTTCAATTGTATATTTGCATTTTTCTCCATGCAAATATTTTCTTATATTTTACTTTATATATTAAACCGAACATGATTTTTTTTTTGTTTCTCACTAAATGCAAATAAATTCACATGTGCGCACAAGACGTGAGCGAGACGTGGCCTGCGTGACACCGGGAGAGCGCAGGGTGTGGAGTGAGGCTGATGTCCTCATGAGCTCTCTGAATAAAAGACAGAAAACTGAAGGGGCTGCACACGCACACACACACACACACACACACACACGGCCACAGCGGCATGCTCGTCCCCAGCGGACCCTGACGTACAATAACAGAGAGCCATTGTCCTGTGGAGGTAAATATTGAAGCCATTCATCTGACAAGGTTGTTGTGACATGGTCTCCACGGGCCCACTGAAAACGCTCCACAAAAACAAAATCTTTACAGTGCGTTTGGAGCCTCCACACTTGCCTCGCCTTTTGTTCCCTGCAAGGCCGCTTGCCATTTTATATGTCAGGTGTGCGTCATATTCATCCACTCGGTGCGCTTATGTTAAACACACAGCGTGGACACAATGGGGATTGTTTTGAGGAGATATATGAACAAACACACACATCTCGTGGCCTCTTATCGCGTTGATTACCTGAGTTCAGGTTGACTTCCTTGATGGCACCGGAGCTCAAATAATCTTCTTTGCACACGAACTTGTTTTCGTCTATCACGTAGAGTTCCTCCCCCGTGGACAGCTGCTTGTTACACACCATGCAGGTAAAGCAGTTCAGGTGAAACACCTTGCTGCGCGCTTTACGCACCAAGTCGTTTGGCGAGATTCCCTGCAGACAGCCCGCGCACTTTGTGCCAAACCGCCTGGATAAAAAGGATAGAAAATAATGTTAAATATATATATGTATGTATATATTCTTTAAATATAATTGCATGATTTTGTTAAGGCACACACACATAACAGAAGCGCACAAAGGACATTTTAGAGAATACTCATGCTCGTATTTTAACACAACATCGTGTTATAGTTAATATCCAGATTCTACAAAAATACAATTTGATGTCCACATATATATATATATATATAACTTATGTGCAAATCAGTGCTCGACTGATGTAAGGCAATATTAACAGCATCATTGTTTGGTGGGAATATACTGTAACTAAGAAATGCCTGAAATCGGGCCAATATCAAATTGTACAATGTTAGAATTCCTATTTAAACAACAATAATAATAATATTAACTGTAATAATATACAATAATAATAATAACAATAATAATAATATTAACACTCATATTAATAATTATAATAACAATAATGTAACATGATTATGTTTAAAATGTATTTAGTAGGTAATTAGTAAACTATTATTTACAATGAACACACCAGCAAACAGAAGCATGTCTCCTATATCATTTCTATATAACTGACTGACAGTATAAATAGTGGCTGCTGGATCATTTCAAAGTACACGTCAGATTTTCCTTTATAAGAAATAGAGACTCATAATTCTGATGGAGGTGCTCTGACAATAACCCCACGAAAAACGTATTAGTGACAATCAACACATTGTGGCACAGGAATATATTATGGGATTAAGCGGGAGTGGGAGCATTTTAGCGTGGAAATCTTCTCTTAATCCATATTCACCCGCTTAAATACCGGGTGGGAGGACTCATCAATTCGATACACAAATAGCCCCCCCTCAAAAAATAAATAAATAAATGGGGGTGAGTGTGTGAGAGAGAGAGAGAGAGAGAGAGAGATTGGTGGCTGTTTACAGTTATTTATCTCCTGCTCTGATGCTTCATTATCAATATTAGCAGTTTTGAGGCTCACACACTGGGCCTGCTGTACCTGAGGTTTCCTGGCGGTGTAAATATGGGTGGGTGGGGGGTGATGTTGGTGGGGATGCTTAAGCCTTTGGGTGAAAGCAAGCACTCCTTTTGTTTTAACACTAATGTAGCCTTGTCTCTCCATTTGCAATGGTATCGTTTCTCCCCCCCCCCCCCACACACCTCTCCCTTTCACATGCAGGGCCGAGCCTCCCCCGGCGAAAGGCCTCAACTCTACTTACACAACAAATGGACACATTAGGGTGATTACTGTTTCGCCTGGCTAATGGTCGGGCCATTTAAAAAAAAAAAAAAAATCCAGCCGCTTGATGGGACCTGCGGTAATATGACGACCGGGGCCGCGCGGGGCCAATAATGGGCCCGTCCCGACAAAGGCTCGCGTGTCTCACATGTCATTAGACAATTTGGGTAGAAAATAAGTGACGCGTGCACAAATGAAAATGATGCAAAGAGAGAGCGACGGGACAAACAAGAGCTTCACTTATCACTCAATTACCTGAAACACTTTTTGAGGGACTGTGGAAGCGGTTAATAGCCTAATGGTTCTTTGGGGGAAAAAAAGTGTTGTCATGGAGCTGGAAAATAGATAAAAATGATAAGCACTGAGTGCACGTGGATGTGGAGTGAAATTCAATTTTAGGTTTCATTTTTTATTATTGCAAAGGGCCCCATTAAAAGGCCACAAGGTCCATGATAAAACCAACATTTCATTCTAGAAATAAATTAAAACCCCAGATTTTAAAATAAATGTTTCAGTTAGATTTATGTATTATTGTTATATATTAATTCAACATGCAACTTGTTTAATTTTGTCCTAATGGAAGTTAATAACAGTGGCCTGAGCAGTTTGAACCCATGGCTTCATATTTTTGACCCCTGTGCTCATAGAATTTTCATCTTGATGACATACTATTATTATTGTTGTCATTTGAAAGTTATTTTATACTCTTCATCTATTTAATTAATCAATATTCCATCCATCCCTCGGACATAAGGCGCGCATTGTTTTGAAAACTGGAGCTCATGTGTCCAGACCCTGCGTGTTACCTGAAAAAGTCCATTTTGCAATAGAGCTTCCCGTCCCTGGAGAAGCACTTCTCCGTCAGGTTGCAGTTGCAGTCGCAGCACTGGACGCACTTGGCGTGCCAGGCTCTGTCCAACACGTTGAGGAGGAACCGGTCCAGGATGGGCCGTTCGCAGCCGGCACAGTGGACCATCATGTCTCCGGCCTGCAGGACGCCGAGTGCCGACCTTCCCACACGGACTGCGCTGCTCGGACTGAGGCAAGCCGGGTCACCGCGGAACAACGTCTTGGCTCCGGGAGGTGCGCTGTCAGGCGAAAACTGTAGGAAGCTCCCGTTGAAAAAGCAGCGGAGTGACAGTCCCTGGAGTCGCTGTAGTCCTGTTCCTGTTGGGCTGCTGTCCTGGCACTTGTCACAATCCACAATCCAGAAGAGAGGAGCGGAGCTTTCAGCCGCGCCAGCTGATGGAGTGCGTAATGGGCAGAGCGAGCATGTTTTCTCACGAGCACACAGTTAAAACACCATTAATCAAAACGTGTTTATTTGTAATACTACATCCCCGGCTCGTGCTTTGTTTGGGCTCCAGTCATTTCCTTCGGGCTCACCTCACGTCGCCACTTTCGCATCACTGTGCCTGGGTTATCACGAGGTTCTACCAGCCGCTGCGCGCAGCCCGCGCCCAGATTGGATGACGCCCTTGTTAATTCCCGTGCAGCGGAGCCAATCAGAGCGCAGTTGTCATGGTTACACGTTCATAGCTGTAGCCTCGAAGCGGACCCGAATCTCACGGCGTGCAGGAATACCACGGCAGTGGAAGCAGAGTGGCGCTTCTAAAGGCCAGCGTGCATGTGGAAGGTTTCAGGGAGACGGTCGTGGAGACATCACCGGGGGAAATGTGTCAGCTGCAGGGGAGGTGGTGCAACACAACAACCTCTGTGCAACATCTGAGCGCACTTTTACCTGCAAAGTCCAAAACAAGGGGACGGTGAAGGCTGCGGAAGAGGCAGCGGGGAAGGGAGGGCGACTTTGCATGTCAGTGAAATGAATCTGATTGCATTGCAATGGGAGTGGGAGTAGCCGAACAAGGGCTAAAGCTACACCACCTCATAATGGCCTTGTGACAAAACGCTCCTGCATCACACACAGTGCGGCCGTGCAGGGGGACGAGGAGGGGCCGCGGGCCTTTTCTCATGCAGAAAGCCATTTACAGGGAAATGCGATGGATTAGCTGCAGCTCATCAATAGGGAGAGCCATGGTCACCCGGTGCTTTAACAGAGTGGCCACCAATCGAAGGGAATCTCAGTATTTACCCACAGCCTTGTTTTGTTAGTTGCACTTAAGCAAACATGCAACTCGCTAATTCACCTTCGTGGACGGCCGAGACTGGTTTAAGCATTTTCTTTGCACCTTAATGGAGACTCATTTGAATGACTGTGGCTGGAGCTGTGACTCGTTTTACACGTTTATAAGACAACATTTAGAGATGAACTTCTATCTATCTATCTATCTATCTATCTATCTATCTGTCTATCTATCTGTCTATCTATCTATCTATCTATCTATCTATCTATCTATC